GAGCTGTAATAATGCGCACCATATATGGAGGAGGTTGACTGGCTGCAGCATACGTGAGTTGGTACTATACTTGCACTAAGTATACATCGTGTGTGGACACACGTGTTGACATGTGGGAGCGGGAGGCCGGAGGACAAGTTAGTCCTGACAACACAACCTTCATGTTCACAGGGGATGCACCTGTAGAAGAGGATTGAGAACATGCAACGTTGGAATTCTGTCTCGGTAGGCCACGTTACCATGGGAACATGCATACACGACCTTGTAGTAGATGCATAATTATATTTTAGCAGTCACTTGATAGCAGTCACTAGATTGATAATATGATGTGCCGCTGAATTGACATCCAATTGATTGAGAGTAAAACAAAGAAGCGCTTTGAGCATGCATGTGGGATGGACTATAGCGCTATATAAATACCCATGTAATAATGTTATACATCTCATAACGCCGTCATATAATTGGAATGGAACGGTCTGTAAATAGTCGAGTCTGGACACCATACGAGTCGATGTACGCCATGTGATACGATGTGTATACCTAGTCACTCAGCCTTACCACCTGACTGTTTATCAGCTCGAAAGATTGGCTTATGATGTACCATTATGTCAGTCAGTAGGATTGTATTGGGCGTCTTCCAATTTCTTGCCTGCCAGTATTTGATTCCAAGCCTTATTAAAATAAGATGTTATATTCCATATGATGCCTCGATTCCAGGGAAACTTTGGTTTAGCCGTATAAAAGGTAGTGTTAGCTTTATGAAAGAGTACGGCTTTATTTTGTCACAACCTCCAGGAGTACCCCTGCCATGGCGCTTTAAAACGATAGTTGTCCATGACAGTTCTTCAGTTATGACAACGTCTTGTACTACCTAGACTTCATGATGTGAACTCAACTACTTGTGTCTGCACAGAATCGTCACACAGCAACCAGACTGTTAGTCGTTCAAGTCCGGTGACGTTTCGACGCTTGTGGTAGCTCAGTGGTTAAAGCGTTCACGTGTTATCCTCAAGACGCGGGTTCGATTGCCCACATGGGTACAATGTGTGAAGCGCACTTCTGCTTGTCCTCAAGCCTGGTAATGTTTGAACAATGTAAAGCGATACTCACTCTGTTGCTGACTATGTACCTTAGTAACTTCTCCAAATATTGACCAAATATCGTAAAACAAATTGGTATAATAATAATAATAATAATAATAATAATAATAATGTGTCCATTTATATAGCGCCAAACTCCACACTAGGTATGCTCATAGCGCTAACAATCAAGGCACAGCACATTATTACCCCGGATAACCCAAGCTGCCTGTTAGGCGCTAGAAGGTTATAGTCATATGACTTTTTTCCACCGGGTACCCATTTTCCTGCTGGGTGAACAGAGACAATTTTGAACAAACTAACTTGCCTAAGGTGAGACCACATGTGTCACATGTGTTTTGTTGTGGGGCAGGACTCAAGTCCTAGAAACTCTCAGGAGTTAAGCTGCCAAACACGGTCACCCATCCAAGGACTCTCCGAGCTCGACGCTGCTTAACGAATTGTGACCTGAGCTTTGAGCACAGGACCGCGCGCCACGATGTATCACATCTTTATCACGTGACAGACCATGAACAAGACGTGGTGATGAACCTGGTGTAGCTGGTTGAGTCAGTGCGGGATGTTACATACTTAGAACATGTAAACAAAACAAACAGGCAACAGTGTTACAATAAACCATGGTGTATATAGTAATATGGTATGGAGAGTCTACAATAAACCATGGTGTATATAGTAATATGGTATGGAGAGTCTACAATAAACCATGGTGTATATAGTAAACATGGTATGGAGAGTCTACAATAAGCCGTGGTGTATATAGTAATATGGTATGGAGAGTCTACAATAAGCCATGGTGTATATAGTAATATGGTATGGAGAGTCTACAATAAACCATGGTGTATATAGTAATATGGTATGGAGAGTCTACAATAAGCCATGGTGTATATAGTAATATGGTATGGAGAGTCTACAATAAACCATGGTGTATATAGTAATATGGTATGGAGAGTCTACAATAAGCCATGGTGTATATAGTAATATGGTATGGAGAGTCTACAATAAACCATGGTGTATATAGTAATATGGTATGGAGAGTCTACAATAAGCCATGGTGTATATAGTAATATGGTATGGAGAGTCTACAATAAACCATGGTGTATATAGTAATATGGTATGGAGAGTCTACAATAAACCATGGTGTATATAGTAATATGGTATGGAGAGTCTACAATAAACCATGGTGTATATAGTAATATGGTATGGAGAGTCTACAATAAACCATGGTGTATATAGTAATATGGTATGGAGAGTCTACAATAAACCATGGTGTATATAGTAATATGGTATGGAGAGTCTACAATAAACCATGGTGTATATAGTAATATGGTATGGAGAGTCTGTAGTTGCCCTTACTGATAAGGACTCAGACCGAAACACGGTGACAGAACTGGATTTTTTTTGAGATTGCAAAACTTTGAAGCTTGATGTTTCACATTGTATCATTGTACTTTTCTCAGATACTACAAGGAAAATCCTTCCATACATTGTATAAGGGTCATGCTTAATCTTTAAGACAGGTATGTTGGCGGTACAGTTATTGGACCCTGTAATTCATCTGTCTCTACACAGATTTTAACTGTGCTTTGCAAATAGCAGACAAGTGTTCAGGTTTGAGAGTCACGTCAATGGTTGACAGTAGGGGTGCTGGATTGTGGCAGATCTCACCCTCAGTTAACACACAGTTAACACACAGTTAACACACAGTTATAAGCTGACCTGCTCTGTGACCAAACAGTTCATGTACTTATACATACATGATACGTTTACTTTTACAAGAGTTTCTTCAGCCTCGTACATCGCTCTTCTGCACGACTAACTTAGATGGAATGTCCACTCCATGATTGTGGGACAATTGTTCTGTGTACAACGCTGGGATCATAGACACATTTATGTAACTGTCTTCATGTTCTGTGCAACCATGAATGCATGTAATAATTTATTCATGTATGCGTAAGCACCCCCCTTGAACACCAACTGACCACATCTCCCTGCTGACCTGAATATTATGTCTACGAGTTCGTCAGTCAAAATATATTCACCATGGTAACATTTCTCCACACAACCATACGCCGCTCTATCCCAGTGATTCTTCGAAATGATCACAAAATGCAAACCAATGCTAAACCTACAAGGTTACCGGACCACCATTGCTCAACATAGCTTGCTCTGTTGCAGCTGCTACCTACATGAAGCGGTTACTCAATATATACTGAATGCAACGAACCCTGCTATCTGACTAAATTATGAATAAATGAATATATTTTATGAATATAATGAATACAATTTATATTTCAAAATGAATAATTTGTCTACTGACTTAGTGCCGACAATGACTACTATTTCACAGTCAAAGGGGAGTGGTGGCATTTTATCGAAGTACACTGTATGCCTAAAATACATCATTGCTAGGTGTTGTATACAGACGACTTACGTAAGCCCATGGTTTTACATTAAACAATATCTGATGTTGTCGACCATGAGCCGCACCCCATCACCTCCCTCCTCTCCTCCTCCAGCACCCCCACCGCTACTATTCCTGACATCAAATCATTTTCTCGTTGAAGGGGGCACTAGGCCATGGTTCCATGTGGGTTGATAGAGGCCTGCAGAACTCTGACATATTCCACACTGACACATTATGCCGGATCTTGTCTGATGTGTCACAGCAGTTGACATGACACCCGATGTTCGTGTCGAATATAGTAATCTATGATATGTTTGATTTCTCCATCGGTTCGTTATGGCGGATGTTTAGTGATACGTTGAAAACTGCAAGTTCGGATTCATGGAGAAACGTTGACCATGCCCATTGCATTTGAGAAGTGCTGTTTGTATGTGGGTTTGTATGCGTCACAGTTACATACAACGTTCAACATTTCAACCAGATTGCAGCCTGTGTGTAACCGAGTCGAACAGACAGGTGGTTGTTTTTACGAGAAACTACCCTGACGTCGAGATGGTAACGTCGAACGTTCGATTCTCCACATGGGTATAATTTGTGAACAAACTTATAACGTTGACCTGATCACCGATTTTAGTTGACGCTATGTTAAGCGTCGGGCAACCAAACGTTTTGTGTAAACTGATTGACGGCTGCTGTCGGTAGAACATGCTTACACCATTCCTGAAAACACCCGGTGTCCTTAGATATCAGATAATGAAGACATCAACATCTGTTGTTCTCTAGGTACATTGGCGACAAGAGGCAAACAGAGATAAGGGCAGGTGAGGGTTCTGTGTAGAATACACCGCCAGTCTGCATACAAACAACACACAGGTCTCGTTATGAAAACAGAACTTTCATACACTTTGACAAGTGGGAATCCTGTTGACTTAAAGTAAATATTTTTGATAGTCATTTTCTAAAGGTCTGAGTCATAAAAATAGTTTGCCGATGAAATAATTCCATCAATAATTCCAAATAAAACAAGGGCTGTGAAGGCATATTTTGTGATGTGTTGCTTCTATTGTAAGAAGACGTAGATGTAGTGCATCTGCCTATATTAACTAATCAATTTATTGATGACAAACTTGAATATGCTGAAATGATATTATACACCAGTCATTTCATTTATCATGATCTAACTTGTTATGACAACAACGAAAAGCTTTAAGATACACTTGTCTGAAATAGAATCTATATTGCTATGGCTTGCAGGAAAATATGTTGGGAGCACTTTACAAACAGTTTGAAGTAAATGCGTGTAAACCCTGGGTGTATGTTTCCAGATGACACCAGTAGGTGTAATTTAACTGTCACTGTACACTGGAACACTTGTTAATATCCTCACGGATATCGTACATGTTTCGTGCAATGAATATGTGTGGCAGCTTTGTTGGATATTAGAGCATCTCGAGCTGGAACAGGTTTATATTGTCGCGATGTGACGTCAGAATATGTTTTTTAACCCGACAGTTTACATTCACTGACGTCATGCTTAATTTCACCTGAGTTGTACCTGGGGGATGATTGCAAGGTATCATTCACAGGGTGAGTATATATATATTACAACACTGTCACATGGGTGGGGTAAAGAGTGACCGCACTGTACGGTCACTGCACATTGTACGGAAACTGTACACTGTACGGAGACTGTAAATTATACGAGGATTGTACGATGTACGAGGACTGTACACTGTACGGGAACTGACGCCGTACGGGGACTGTACACTGTACGGATACTGTACAATGTACGGGATTGTACACTGTACGGGACTGTACGCCATACGGGGCTGTATGCCGTATGGAGACAGTACGCCGAACGGAGACAGTACACTGTACGGGTACTTACACTGTACGGGGACTGTAAACTGTACGAGGACTGTAACCTGTACGAGGGCTGTACACTGTATGAAGACTGTACACTGCACGAGGACTGTACACTGTACGAGGACTGTACACTGTATGAAGACTGTACACTGTATGAAGACTGTACACTGTACGAAGACTGTACACTGTACGAGGACTGAACCTGTATGATGACTGTACACTGCACGAGGGCTGTACACTGCACGAGCACTGTAACCTGTATGAGGGCTGTACACTGCACGAAGACTGTACACTGCACGTTGACTGTACACTGCACGAGGACTGTACACACGAGGACTACACTGTACGAGGACTGTAACCTGTAAGAGGACTGTACACTCTACGATGACTGTACACTGTACGAAGACTGTACACTGCACGAGGACTGTACACTGCACTAGGACTGTACACTGTACGAGGACTGTAACCTGTACGAGGGCTGTACACTGTATGAAGACTGTACACGGTACGAGGACTGTACACTATACGAGGACTGTACACTGCACGAGGGCTGTACACTGTACCAGGACTGTACACTGCACACTAACTGTAACCTGTACGAGGACTGTACACTGTACGTGGACTGTACACTGCACGAGGACTGTACACTGTACGAGGACTGTACACTGTACGAGGGCTGTAAACTGTACGAGGGCTGTACACTGCACGAGGATTGTACACTGCACGAAGACTGTACACTGCACGAGTACTGTACACTGTACGTGGACTGTACACTGCACGAGGACTGTACACTGTACGTGGACTGTACACTGCACGAGGACTGTACACACGAGGACTACACTGTTCGAGGGCTGTAAACTGTACGAGGACTGTACACTGTATGAGGACTGTACACTGTACGTGGGCTGTACACTGTACGTCTACTGTAACCTGTATGAGGACTGTACACTGAACGAGGACTGTAACCTGTACGAGGACTGTACACTGTATGAAGGCTGTACACTGTACGAGGACTGTACACTGCACGTTGACTGTACACTGTACGAGGACTGTAACCTGTACGTGCACTGTACACTGTACGAGGACTGTAACCTGTATGAGGACTGTACACTGTAAGAGGACTGTAACCTGTACGAGGGCTGTACACTGTATGAAGACTGTACACTGTACGAGGACTGTACACTGCACGCTGACTGTACACTGTACGAGGGCTGTACACTGTACGAGGACTGTACACTGCACGAAGACATTTGGACAACGTCTTTGTAGTATGCAACTGCAAGCGATGGGGGAAACATGCATGCCAGGAAGTCACCCCATAACATGTGCTTTAAGTATCTAAGTTCACACTTATATGTGTATGGAGGTACTTGAGTAATTGTGTATGTTCTGTTTAGTGTTATTATTGAATGTGAAGCAACAGTCTCTTCTCCGGGCCTTTAAATGATCTTAAGCAATCCTGATTCGAACAAGACTTGACAACAAATGTTGATAGCAATTTGGGTGACGATGCAACTCTATTATTTCAATCTCAAATTTTACTGTGTGTTTATGCTAGTCTTATTCGGGATAGTGGCTTGGTATGTTTACCTGAGGAGAACACTTCAAAGAAAACGGAGGTAGATAGGTGCAAAAATATATGTTGCATATTATGCTGAGAAAGCGGTGTGATCCGTCTCCTGGAGAGAGCAAGAAGTATCTAATGCACTCCTCAATTGCTTCATCTCGTACATGCAACCAGAGGTAATTATCATGCGTGACATGCTGTCATCCGTACATGTCTCACACGGACAGGCCTTTTCTAATACTGTTTTGTATAGCTGCCAGTTGTGAAATAGACCGTGTCAAGCTGAATGACAGCTTGCTTGCACTCTTCAGTCTGTATTGAGAACTGTTTTCATACACATCCCTATTTTTACTTCTACCACACGTCCCCGAATAATTGCAGGTGAACAACTGACTTAGCATATGTTTGTGACGGGTGCCACCGGCGGGGCAGAATACGCTTATCTTTTCGCGAACACCTGGTATCATCAATATCCCATAGTGATTCCTAAACACATGCTCTGTCATCGTATAGCAAGGTGGATCACTGAATCGTCTGGTTCAGGCTCGATTTGTTTACGAATAACATCGTACAACTATAATAATGCTGAAACAAACATGTGCTCATGATATGGCCACAATTGTACAATCGATGTGCGTTTAGGAGAGATTTATTATGAATGTGGAAATGGTTTTGTCGCTTTTATTTACCTAACTTAGTGAGTTATTTTTCTGTTATACAACACACGTCAACACCTCAGATGATACGCTCACGGGTACAGGAGGTAGGTCAGATGTACACGTCAACTGGTCAGATGAAATACTCACGGGTACAGGAGGTAGGTCAGATGTACACGTCAACAGGTCAGATGAAATACTCACGGGTACAGGAGGTAGGTCAGATGTACACGTCAACAGGTCAGATGAGGAGGTAGGTCAGATGTACACGTCAACAGGTCAGATGAAAGTTCACGGGTATGTAGGTCAGATGTACACGTCAACAGGTCAGATGATATACTCACGGGTACAGGAGGTAGGTCAGATGTACACGTCAACAGGTCAGATGAAATACTCACGGGTACAGGGTAGGTCAGATGTACACGTCAGATGTACACGTCAACTGGTCAGTTTATGATAGATACTCATATCGTAGACACTAAATACAATGCAGAAATAAACACGGGGATTCAATGTCTGAGCATTCCAATGTTTATTCCGAGTTGTAAACAGTGACCAGTGTGCTCACAAACGTAAAACATGCTGAATCGATAGCATAATGTCAAGCGTGTCATGTTCTTTTGTAAATGTTGTATAGGACAAAGGCCATTGCTCTCAGTGAGGCTGATCCAAGTTGATCTTCATTTGTTTCAACGAAAACCCAACCTATCATATGTATCCGCACGTAGAATACGAAGAATGCATGCAGGATAACATTACAAATATAACCAGCAACCTGTTATCCTCTTAGTAACATACCGTTGCTTTCAGTTCTAAATGTCAATTAAGTTGGGATCCGTCCACCATCAAGCCGTAGCTAAAGTACGCTAAAACACACATGCACAAAACGTCATTGGATGTGGAGATTGATGCATCTATCCACTCACCAGTCAAGTTAATACACATCAACAATAACTGTACGCTTCGATAACTGCAACAATTGTGATTTCAGACCCGGGTTTTGGACAGACCCAACTCTTCAGCCAAGGTGGTGAAGTAAAGACTGTCTGATATCTCAGCTGACTTAGTTTACAAAAGCACGATTTGATGATGTCCAACAGCTCGACACACACAGAACTGGGCAGATGACAATGAATGAGTGTGGCTAATTCTCATCACGATCTTATAATGTCCAACAGCCCCCCACACGGTGAGGAGCAACACGATCAGATTGCCATCGCGAAGACAGGCGTGGACGTCAATGACGCCCTGAAAGCCCCGGATGGTGGATGGGGATGGGTGTGTGTGGCAGGCCGCTTCTTTGTGGTGGCCCTGGTCCTGGGACTAATCACTGGCTTTGGCATCGTGTATGTTGAAATGATTGACTATTTCGACACGACGAGAGTTGAGACGGCATGGATGAGCTCGTTACATAGCGCTACATATTGTATAACAGGTGAATGCCTCGGCTTGAAGCCGCAAGCGATTCCATGCTAAGTTTGGGGAAAATTGGGAAATGAAGGTACTATTTAATTTCTGTGGAATAGAAATGTTAGTAAATATAACTTATAATGGATTTCAACATATATGGTCATTCATAAGCCCGTGTGTTCAGTTTTAGAAATTCCTCCGAGCTTTGTCAAAGATAATTAGTGACAGTCCCCACGAACTACCCGACAAAGTTAAACCACTCAAATTCATGTCAAGTATGTGTTGAGCTATGTTTAATTTGCATGCTTGTAATTCATAAATTTATCAAATTAGATCTGCTGTCATATAATCTAGTCTGTGATTATCACATATATGATCTGTTTCATGTGTATTCTTTCCATGAATGTAGGAAAACGATTTTCTCGAAACTTCATGCCATACATATCGCTTTATCGCCATGTCTCAAGATTTTACGAGCGCTTCACATTTGTGCCGATTTGTCGATTCTTTACGATGATGTCTTTAAGCTACTATTGTATCAGGTCTTGTCGGTGGTGGCCTAATTGACCGTTTCGGCTGCCAAACGTTGACAGTGACGGCGTCCCTCCTCACCAGTGCCGGATTCATCATCAGCATGTTCTCACCAAACATCGTCATGCTCTGCGTGGTGTACGGCGTCCTGACTGGTGAGTATGCAGACCCTGTTGTACAATGGAGTAGGGAGTTGAATGAGTGAATGCTCTGCGTGGTGTACGGCGTCCTGACTGGTGAGTATGCAGACCCTGTTGTACAATGGAGTAGGGAGTTGAATGAGTGAATGCTCTGCGTGGTGTACGGCGTCCTGACTGGTGAGTATGCAGACCCTGTTGTACAATGGAGTAGGGAGTTGAATGAGTGAATGCTCTGCGTGGTGTACGGCGTCCTGACTGGTGAGTATGCAGACCCTGTTGTACAATGGAGTAGGGAGTTGAATGAGTGAATGCTCTGCGTGGTGTACGGCGTCCTGACTGGTGAGTATGCAGACCCTGTTGTACAATGGAGTAGGGAGTTGAATGAGTGAATGCTCTGCGTGGTGTACGGCGTCCTGACTGGTGGGTATGCAGCACCTGTTGTACAATGGAGTAGGAGTTGAATGAGTGAATGCTCTGCGTGGTGTACGGCGTCCTGACTGGTGAGCATGCAGCACCTGTTGTACAATGGAGTAGGGAGTTGAATGAGTGAATGCTCTGCGTGGTGTACGGCGTCCTGACTGGTGAGCATGCAGCACCTGTTGTACAATGGAGTAGGGAGTTGAATGAGTGAATGCTCTGCGTGGTGTACGGCGTCCTGACTGGTGAGTATGCAGCACCTGTTGTACAATGGAGTAGGGAGTTGAATGAGTGAATGCTCTGCGTGGTGTACGGCGTCCTGACTGGTGAGCATGCAGCACCTGTTGTACAATGGAGTAGGGAGTTGAATGAGTGAATGCTCTGCGTGGTGTACGGCGTCCTGACTGGTGAGTATGCAGCACCTGTTGTACAATGGAGTAGGGAGTTGAATGAGTGAATGCTCTGCGTGGTGTACGGAGTCCTGACTGGTGAGTATGCAGACCCTGTTGTACAATGGAGTAGGGAGTTGAATGAGTGAATGCTCTGCGTGGTGTACGGCGTCCTGACTGGTGAGTATGCAGCACCTGTTGTACAATGGAGTAGGGAGTTGAATGAGTGAATGCTCTGCGTGGTGTACGGCGTCCTGACTGGTGAGTATGCAGACCCTGTTGTACAATGGAGTAGGGAGTTGAATGAGTGAATGCTGTGCGTGGTGTACGGCGTCCTGACTGGTGAGTATGCAGACCCTGTTGTACAATGGAGTAGGGAGTTGAATGAGTGAATGCTCTGCGTGGTGTACGGCGTCCTGACTGGTGAGCATGCAGACCCTGTTGTACGGTGGAGTAGGGAGTTGAATGAGTGAATGCTCTGCGTGGTGTACGGCGTCCTGACTGGTGAGCATGCAGCACCTGTTGTACAATGGAGTAGGGAGTTGAATGAGTGAATGCTCTGCGTGGTGTACGGCGTCCTGACTGGTGAGCATGCAGCACCTGTTGTACAATGGAGTAGGAGTTGAATGAGTGAATGCTCTGCGTGGTGTACGGCGTCCTGACTGGTGAGTATGCAGCACCCGTTGTACAATGGAGTAGGGTGTTGAATGAGTGAATGCTCTGCGTGGTGTACGGCGTCCTGACTGGTGAGTATGCAGACCCTGTTGTACAATGGAGTAGGGTGTTGAATGAGTGAATGCTCTGCGTGGTGTACGGCGTCCTGACTGGTGAGCATGCAGACCCTGTTGTACGATGGAGTAGGGAGTTGAATGAGTGAATGCTTCAGTTATGGGTGTGACTAAACCTTCCTGACCTACGAAGGTTGTGGTTGTACTCGGTTTACAAAATGGTAACATCTCAAAGACCCGTATTGGAATTGATTCACAATTAGGCATTATATTTAAACAGGCATCACTACGCATTCTCAGTTGATGAAAATGGCTTCGACGTCAACTCCAACTGAAAGGGCTCACTCTGAGATTTATCCTTTGGGGAAGGATATTCCCTTCTTGTTGCCTTTAAGATGTCGGCACTGCAGGTCAAGAGGACAGAGAAAGACAAGAAGATGCCCTCAGGTCAAGCAGACCTCTCACCACTAAGGGAACCGAGGATCAAATACATGACATGGATGGACGATGACCATCGTAAAACCCTTTGAGGAATGACCTTGGCAAAATCATGGTTTCAGCACTTCAAAGCTACCAGTTTCAGTTTCTCGCGAGAATTTACGTGGTTTTGGAGGAGACGCGGCGGTTATGGTGAGCGACTTTTAAACACGAATGAGTCTTAGTTTAACCAAAATATTCAGCATCAGGACTAGGAAATACTCCATCTAGATAATCCACCGAAATATTCAGCATGAGTATGACCCATCTAAACTGACGTTCAAAGAAACTTGGCAACTAAAAAAATTAAATTGTTGAAAGACAGATACTTTCACCTTAGCGTAACCATGCTAAATCCACCTCCAAAACCCACAGAACAGGAATCCGTGTAATGACTTGTACGGGTGTTTTGAAAAGGTTTTTTATTTTGCAAAATGCACGTGATTTGCGTGTTCAGAAATTGCACATGTACAAACGTGTTAAAACTGTTCAGTTCACACGTTATCGATGCAGTATTAAGACAAAGACACATAAGAAATGCCCAGGTTAACACAAGAACAGCGCGAGAGGGCCACAGCAATGCTTCAAATGTGTGCACCACAGACCCATGTTACAAGAACATTGAACAGTCCTGCTCCCATAATACTGTACGCGGTTCAAGTATCGGACAACAGACAGGCCAAAAACAGGCAGACCAAGGGTGGCCACGCCCTTTGAAGATCGCTACCAACACACCTTGCAGTTGCGTAACAGATTCTTGCCTGTGACGTCATCGGCGTCGAATGCGTTGGGTCGTGTGGTGAGCAGACAGACAGTAGGGCAGCGGTATCAGAGCCTACAGATCCTCAAGAGGCTCGCTGTTGACCAATGAACATCGTCGTGGAAGACTGAGATGGGCGTTGGCAACGTCGTGATTGGCAACGCGTCGAAAAACTGTTTTGTCTACCCCACATGGACATTACCAGACATATGTGATAAGTTGTTCTCTGTTTTGTTTTGACTATTTACACAATGGTTTAGGCACATACTAATGCTTCCAATACCGCTTATGTTGATCATTAATGTTTTTTGTTTGTTTTTTAGCCATAGATCATCTTGTGGACGTAAGTTTAGATGAACCACCGAAATATTCAACATCAGCGACAGGGAATAACCTCTCTATGATATGGTTCTCAACATCAGCGACAGGGAATAACCTCTCTATGATATGGTTCTCAACATCAGCGACAGGGAATAACCTCTCTATGATATGGTTCTCAACATCAGCGACAGGGAATAACCTCTCTATGATATGGTTCTCAACATCAGCCACAGGGAATAACCTATCTATGATATGGTTCTCAACATCAGCGACAGGGAATAACCTCTCTATGATATGGTTCTCAACATCAGCGACAGGGAATAACCTCTCTATGATATGGTTCTCAACATCAGCGACAGGGAATAACCTATCTATGATATGGTTCTCAACATCAGGGAATAACGATATGGTTCTCAACATCAGCGACAGGGAATAACCTATCTATGATATGGTTCTCAACATCAGCGAAAGGGAATAACCTCTCTATGGTGGTTCTCATGATATGGTTCTCAACATCAGCGACAGGGAATAACCTATCTATGATATGGTTCTCAACATCAACGACAGGGAATAACCTATCTATGATATGGTTCTCAACATCAGCGACAAGGGGAATAACCTCTCTATGATATGGTTCTCAACATCAGCGACAGGGAATAACCTATCTATGATATGGTTCTCAACATCAACGACAGGGAATAACCTCTCTATGATATGGTTCTCTCAAAATAACCTCTCTGATGATATGAACATCACCTATCTATATGATATGGTTCTCAACATCAGCGACAGGGAATAACCTCTCTATGATATGGTTCTCAACATCAGCGACAGGGAATAACCTATCTATGATATGGTTCTCAACATCAGCGACAGGGAATAACCTCTCTATGATATGGTTCTCAACATCAGCGACAGGGAATAACCTCTCTATGATATGGTTCTCAACATCAGCGACAGGGTTCTCAATAACCTCTCTATGATATGGTTCTCAACATCAACGACAGGGAATAACCTCTCTATGATATGGTTCTCAACATCAGCGACAGGGAATAACCTATCTATGATATGGTTCTCAACATCAGCGACAGGGAATAACCTCTCTATGATATGGTTCTCAACATCAACGAAAGGGAATAACCTATCTATGATATGGTTCTCAACATCAGCGACAGGGAATAACCTCTCTATGATATGGTTCTCAACATCAGCGACAGGGAATAACCTATCTATGATATGGTTCTCAACATCAGCGACAGGGAATAACCTCTCTATGATATGGTTCTCAACATCAGCGACAGGGAATAACCTCTCTATGATATGGTTCTCAACATCAGCGACAGGGAATAACCTATCTATGATATGGTTCTCAACATCAGCGACAGGGAATAACCTCTATGATATGGTTCTCAACATCAGCGACAGGGAATAACCTCTCTATGATATGGTTCTCAACATCAGCGAAAGGGAATAACCTCTCTATGATATGGTTCTCAACATCAGCGACAGGGAATAACCTCTCTAACCCATCTATGATATGGTTCTCAACATCAGCGACAGGGAATAACCCCTCTATGATATGGTTCTCAACATCAGCGACAGGGAATAACCTATCTATGATATGGTTCTCAACATCAGCGACAGGGAATAACCTCTCTATGATATGGTTCTCAACATCAACGACAGGAATAACCTCTATGATATGGTTCTCAACATCAGCGACAGGGAATAACCTCTCTATGATATGGTTCTCAACATCAGCGACAGGGAATAACCTCTCTATGATATGGTTCTCAACATCAGCGACAGGGAATAACCTCTCTATGATATGGTTCTCAACATCAGCGACAGGGAATAACCTCTCTATGATATGGTTCTCAACATCAGCGACAGGGAATAACCTCTCTATGATATGGTTCTCAA